GGGAGTGTGCAGGAGGCAGCTGATTGATGTTTCTCTCTCATCGATGTTTCTAACTCTCTATCCCTCTCTCTTCCTCTCTGTAAAAAAATCAATAAAATGTATTTTTTTTAAAAAAGAGTTACTACATGTGTACACACACATACATACACACAAGCAAACCTATTTTTATCAAATCACAGAGAAGTATATGAAATGGAAAGTAGAAGTCTGTTCTTCTCCTTATCCCCCAGTTATATGTAGCAATGTATTAGCATGTCTGGGTATAGTGCATTTATGCAACCATAATGAAATCTAGAAAGTCACCCGAAATATATTTTTAAGTGAAAAAAAGAAAACACCAGGTACAAATAACATGACTAGTATGGCCCAACCCGATATCCCTTTTTTGTTTTGAAACATAGCTTACTAAAAAAAATGTGCATTCGGGAGAAAATGAGACCATAATCAATCCATCAGCCAGAAATTGGGTGCCCACTTCCCACTGTTGTACACTGTTATACACTGGTATTACCCAAGATTACCCACCTTCAACCTCATCTTTCCAAAGACTGTTGTGGGATCACCAGGGAAGGAAGATTTTGTATTTCTAAGTAAACTAGCGTTTATGAAAAAGTATACCCTTTGGGGAGTATAGTATATGAAGTAGAATCAGCATTTCAAAGAGTAACAAATATATACAGTGGAACCTTGGTTCTCAAACTTAATTCATTCCAGAAGGCTGTTCAAAAGCGATTTGTTTGAAAACTGGATCCTTTTTCCCCATAAGAAATAATGTAAGTTGAATTAATCTGTTCCAGACCCCCAAATGATTCCCTCTTTTAACCTTTCTTATATACAATAGATGTCTAATGTGCTGTTTAATCTATAAATATTCTTTTTTTGAATTTTTCGAACCACCTCCCACTAGCCTTAAAGGAATCTCTCTCAGAATTCGTTCCAGGGGTGGTCTTTCAGGTCAACATGCAGATCTTTGCTTGTTCATATATCAATGTCTCTGAAATGCTGTCACTGGCTATCTACATTTCATTTATCTAAATCAACAACAGTTTTTCTGCCTCTTCAATTGCCTGTGATCACTGTTTCTTTCACACCCTTAGCAACATTAGCATTCTTAATGGCCTCTTTATGTTTTAAAATTAAGTATACCTTTCTAAGAATTATAATTGTTCACCATCACTAAAAGAAAAATCTGAGGAGGGTGAAAAGGTGATTTAAAAAAAGGAAGAACTCTCTTCTGGGGAGCAGCAAAACATAAACATAAGCAAGTCTTATGGGCTGAATTGTGTCTCCCCAAAATTCATGTGAAGTTCTGATCCCCAACACCTCAGAAAGTCACATTCATTGAAGGGAGATAGGGTCTTTAAAAAGGTAATTAAGTTAAAATGAGGTCATTAGAGTGGGCACTAATCCAACATGACTAGTATGACTGGTGTCCTGATAAGAAATCTGGACACAGATGTGTATAGAGGGAAGACACAGGAAGATGACCATCTTGCAAGCCCAACAAGAGAGGCCTCTGAAGAAATCAATCTTGCTAACACCTTGCTCTCAGACTTCTAGCCTCCAGAATCGTAAGAAATAAATTTCTGTTGTTTAACCGTTTGGCTGCTGACGTATTTTTTCGGACATATGCCAAAACTGCGGCACTAATTGTGCGTGTATGGGAAAAAATGTAAAACACTTTTTATACAAATTCTAGTGTTTTGGAGCAGTATTACGCTCTCCGCAGTCTTGGCATTAAAAAAAAAACAGGAGCGCTATCGCACTCTTCGCATTTTTGGAGTAACATAAGAAGAGCGCGATAGCGCTCCTTAGCAGTCAAACGGTTAAGGCACCCAACTCTTGACATTTTATTTTGGCAGCCCTATCAAAGTAATATAGCAAGGTAAATACAATCATGTTCGTCACTTTAGCCCGGGGATATCTAGATTTCTACCCTAGAGAAACTCGCATACATGTACACAACAACCATTGATACGGATGTTCAATACAGAATTGTTTATAATGAGAAAAAAATAGAAACAATTTTCTCTCAGTAGGGAAATGACTTACATAATGAAATACTATAAACAGAGTATAGCTTTAAACCAGAACTTTGTGTATTAACAAATATTTATCTTAAACTTAATTTTTTTAAAAAGCAGTTTACAAAAAAGGAGACATACAATTTGATGTCATTTACATAATGTTTTAAAACACAAACCAATAGAATACAGTTTTGTGTGTGGAAACATAAATGCACCATGATTTTAAGATAAGATGGTTCTGGGCAACTGAAATACCACTTAGTAATATCCATCTGAAGAGAACTTGTGTTTTTCCTACACAATGCAAATGTAGACTAAAAGACTGGAGTTCTGCCATTAGTAAAACTTACCACTAGAGAAAAAGGACAATTCTCCAAGAAGTTCTGTTTGTTTAGATGTATTAATAACATAATCTTCAAAAGAAGTCTGAGCCGCAGGTCTAAAGCTCTTCAAAGATTCCGTAGCTTTCTGTATTCTGTATTCAAATAGATATCTTTTATGTAAAAATGATTCGTTAAAAAAGACAAATCAGACTAAGTATCTGCAATGTGATAAACAAAAGAAAACCTCACTCAACATGCAAGTTAAAAGTGAAGTAAGCTTTGAGACAGCATGGAGGGACCTGGAGAGTATCATGCTAAGTGAAATAATTCAGTCAGAGAAAGACAAGTATCACATGATCGCACTCATATGTGAGATTTAAGTAAAGAAACAAACTGATGAACTGACTGGTTCCAGAGACCTGGAAGCATGGAAAAGAGTGCGGAATCTCAGAGGGAAGGGCGGTGAGGGAGTGGGGGGAGGTAGGAGGTAATCAACCAAAGCCTTTGTATGCATAAATGCATAACCCATGGACACTGAAGGCCTGGGGCTGGGGGTATAGGGAGGGGGCTGGAAAGGGTCAATGGGGGAAACAGGAGGACATATGTAATACTTTCAACAATAAAGAATTATTTTTAAAAAACTCAGAAAACATGTGTGGTACATGGAGAATGGAGAACATAGGGGTTTCTGTACCCAGAAGGCCCGACTAAACAGAAGTCAAGGATAAGGAGAGCGAGCTGTTCTCTCTGTGAGTCAAAAAAAAAAGAGTGAAACAAGAGGTATTTCACGTAACAACAGTATGTACAAACTGCTCAGAGCTAAAGGGAACATACAGCAGCATTTAATAGATTGCTAAGGAGATTCTAGGTTAAAAATAAAATACCTGAGGTGGAGCTGTTTGGCTGTCTGTACGAAGCAAGACTGATCTGTCTCCTTAAGCACTTCTTGAGCATATCCCACAAGTCCATTGTTCTCTAGAAGCCCCTGATATTCTTCCATTTGAGTCTGAAATTTGTCTAATCTTAGTTTCTTTGAAGCATCGATTGCTTTCAAAACGCTTGATTTCCTCTCTTCTAGAATTTCAAAGAGCTTTTCAAAATGTGTAATTGCATCTTCTTTAGCCCTCTCTCCATTACACTATTGTAAAACAAGCAAAGCATTACTACATCTGCTAAATCCCAATGTCTTTTCACAAAAATAACCAAAATTCAATAAAACAAACCCAAATATTATAAAGAAAATAAATTCTGTCTATGAAATCTGACATCAAGAAATGATCAGCGAGGTATGATCGGCAACTTTTACTTAGGCGCACTTTGTAATTCCATAATATGTACCTTCCTTACACTTTTAATCTCCACAGTTCAGCAATAAACAATGTATTTAATTACATAAGAAAACAACCTTCAATTTGTATACAAAGGAAATTGAGGCAAAATTAACTGATTTAACCAAAGACAAGAGAAAATACAATTCTGGAGTTTTTAATTCATTTCTAATTTAATTAAGGAAATATTTTCCCACCTTATTCCAATTTTTAAAAAAAGTAAACCATGACCATGAAACTCAGTAAGATGACATCCTTTACTAAGATATAAAAATGTAGCTATTCAAATAACATAATTTAATTGTATAAGTCCTATGTGACTTTATGCAAATTACTTAAATTCTTTCTGCTTGAGTTTTTCTATTCTAAAAACTGGGGATCAGAGAAACCATTTAGGTTTGGGGGGGGGTTAAAGATAGAAAAAGATTATTTACATAAAATGCCTGCCACAATGTCACATATTCTCAAAAAAACCATTATTTTCACTACAACATAAGTATTCCTCTACTTTGTCAAAAAATGATCCTGTCTGTAGTGCTAATAAACACTGTAATACCAATAAAGTAGAGATAAACTTGATTTTGAAAATAAGACCATCAGAGCACTCATTATACTAGAGCCTAAGTAAGAGCCAACAGATAAAAAGTCTCCAAGAACATTCTTAAAAGCTGACAATATATTATAGAAGTGCATTGTGCATTTTCCAGTGACTTCTGGACAATATTTATAATAAGAGAAAATGCTTTCCAGATTCCCTTCTGTGTCCTAACCCGAGCAGCCATAAGTTTTTAAATGGGTAGGACAGGGGAAGTAGAGGGTGGTGACATTTGGGTAGTATTTCAAAGACCTATCAAACCATTAAACTCAGAAATATCATTATATGTATGTAAAAGATAGATTTTTCTTTTTTGCTAAATACATTATAGATAAAAAGACAGTATCACAATCATCACTGAGTAAAAGCCAAGAATATGGATAAATTCTCTATTGTAGAAAAGTCTTGCCAAAACCGGTTTGGCTCAGTGGATAGAGCGTCGGCCTGCGGACTGAAAGGTCCCGGGTTCGATTCCGGTCAAGGGCATGTACCTGGGTTGCGGGCACATCACCAGTAGGAGGTGTGCAAGAGGCAGCTGATCGATGTTTCTCTCTCATCGATGTTTCTAACTCTCTATCTCTCTCCCTTCCTCTCTGTAAAAAATCAATAAAATATATTTAAAAAAAAAAAAAAGAAAAGAAAAGTCTTACTGATAAGACTACAAATGCTGCTTAGGTCAAAAGTACAAACTAAATAATTTCTCCAGGATCCTAAGGAATCAATGTCTACATGAATACCTGATACCTGAGTTCCTCCATTTTCACCCTACCGAATGAAAAACTCCCAACATGTACTGGGTGTTCCTTATTTCAGAAGGGCGGCATGACTGAGAAACAGCGGAGTAAAACAAATTTAAACTGACCAGCACACAATCCCTGAAGCAACTAATACTCTAGGTGACAACTTGTTCTGTGTTGGGGGATTACACTAATCAGACAAAAATATAAAAACAAAATTCCACCTTTAAATTACATGGGGAAAAAAACCACAATCTACTTAACGTGGTGAAAGCAATTAGTAAATATCAGAAAAAGAATATTAAAAACAAAAGCAATGCTGGTAATATAGGACTAATTTGCATAATTTCTCAATAATTTTAACCCATCTTAGAAAAAAATTTTCAAGAAGTAGTCTCATACTAAGTCAGGATATTTTTTATATTTCATTATAACTTTCAAAATGATCAAGAGTAATTAATGGTTCTTCAATTTATTTCAAAGAGAAAAAAGAAACAGGCATTAAATTAGTAAAGAATATGTGGAATTTTAAAATAACCCAATCCTGGCCTCTTTTATTTTTCTAAATTTGTATTGAAATATAATACAGAAACCGAAAAATGTACATAAGTGTAGAGATCAATGAATATTTGCAAACGCACGCATGTAACCAGCATCCAGGGTAAATAAAAGACCATTACCAATATCCCAGAAGCCACCCTTATAACTTCCGAGGCACTAATCCTCCCGTCCTCAACAATTCCTATTCTGAATTCTCACAATATAGTCCAGTTTCACCTTTTTTGGCAATTTTTATGAATGGAATAACACAGGATATACTCCTTTATATCTAGCATTTTTCAATATTATTGCAAGAGTTACCTATATTGTTGTACAAAGATGCAGATACTCATTCTTACTGCTACTTATATTCCAGTATTGATGAACATTTGGATAGTTTCCACTTTATGGATATTACAAATAATGCAGCTATGAACATTTTAATACATGTCTTTTGGTGAACATATTCAATTATATACCAGGTACATAATTAAGAGTATCTGGAATTTTAAGTAAACCTGGTTCTATCCATATATACAGTACATTTCTCAAATGTGATGTTAACTTTGTAAAATATAAATAATTACAAAAGCTATCATTTCCCTTATGTTACTACTTTTGAGACCTAAACTGCCACATAAGAATGAGTCATTCTTTCCGCTGTGCTCAATATTATTTAATCACTTACCTCTATCACAACACTAATCACATGTCATAGCATTATAATTTATATTTTATATGTTTCCCTAGTCCCAGAAAAGCAGAAGTAAAATCTAACACAAGTTTGTACTCCCAATTCATATATTACCCTCAAAATTTTATAAATGAAAAAGTAGTTGTCTAGATGAATATGTAAACCAGTTTATCACTTACCTCTGTTTCTTTCATTAACAAGTTTAGTTCAGAAATTTGACTCTTCACCTGGCTCTCCTTGCCAATAAGGTAATTAATATCCTTTGAAAGTTTTTCCTGTTGGAATATATTAGTAACACAAATAAGCAGAGACAGAAGTTTAATGCAGGTCTTGAAGAACCTTTTTTTTTCCTTTTTTACACAGTAACATCAATTAAAAGATCCATCTTTAATTCTTTGGAACACTCACCAATCAGACACAGTGAGTTTTTTTGATGACTCACTGGAGAGAGAGAGGAAGAACCCATAGGAAAAGGAACAAGGTTTCTAAGGACTAGAGGGAAGATGGGACCAAGAAAGAACTGTAGGATATCAAGGATAGAAAGAGACGGACTATCTTGTGTCTTAACCCAGCATTTTACAGATGAGGGAACCAAAGCTCACTGAGTTCAAACATCACAGTCGGTAGCTGAGCTGAAAGCTCCTCAGTGCATAGTATACTAACCACCATTCCCCAGGCTGAGAGGTACTTCCTCAGCGCTCAGCTACAAGATGACAGTTCCTCCAGTAAGTCCCTGTCAGGCCCATGCTAGGACCAGAAGTATGGGATGAAGGAGGTGGTACTCTTTTTAGCTACAGCAGCAAGGAGAAGAATTTGGCCATTTAAATTGAAGTAGGACTTGGTTCTAAAATAGTTTAAATTAGAAATACAAGATAGGCTAGAGAAGAATAGATGACAGGAATCAGAAATATGGTTTAAGGTCTAAGAGTACCAGGGGTCACTTCCAGTAAGCTGTAATGCTTAGACAAAGTCTCTGGTCAATAGCAGCCTTGATTTGAGATGGCTCCAAGTTTTCTCTGTCCTCAGACACAGGTAGTCCGTGTTTATGTAGTCTTAGTTTTAACCAAGAAGCAGTGTCCATTTATTCATAGGTCTCCAAAAAGCATAAACACCAGTAAAACAGATCACATAACAAGCTCATGATTTTATAAAGCAAAAGTTAAAGGCATAAAGCAAAATAAAGAATCAAAATGTAGTTCCAAAAATAAACACAAGTCCTACCTTTAAGGTTTTGTAGGCACTGCTCATAGTGGTTACACGGTGATTGGAATGATTACCACCACCCAGCTTACAGAGATGACAAACTGGCCTCCTACATAATTCACAGTACATGTTTACTCTCTCCGTTTCATGTTCTGGGCACATTAAAATCTATCGAGTAAAAGAATAAAATTGTGATTTAGGGTCATCATAGCTCGCAGGGCACTCAAAGTCCCAAAATACAAAGACCTGCTTTAGAAAAATCACTAAATAAAAGATAACAGGGTAAAAAGAAATAAAAGCATTTGGTATATCATATGAAAAGTCTCTATATTAGAATTACTATTGGTCAATTTCAAATGGTCAATTAAACATATATATATTATTTACCCTAAACTGGTGATAAGATGGTGAAAATTTCATTCCTATCAGACTTAAGTAGAATGTTTGACCAACTTAGAAAGGCTCTGACCACACTGATGAGGCAACTCTTTCTTAAATATATATTTTATTGATTTTTTTATAGAGAGGAAGGGAGAGGGCTAGAGTTAGAAACACCGATGAGAGAGAAACACTGGTCAGCTGCCTTCTGCACACCCCCTACTGGGGATTGAGCCCGCCCTTGACCAGAACCGACCCTGGGACCCTTCAGTCTGCGGGGCCGTCACTCTATCCACTGAGCCAAACTGGTTAGAGCACTGACTAGGCAACTCTGAATAATTATAATCAGTATTTTTATAAATTACCGTAACAGATAACTTATGAGAACCCGGGGCCTCACTATCCTCACAAGAAATCTGCTACTAGGAGAGTCTTGGAACACTTTATAGGCTTCCAGATGTGTTTGCTTTTACATATTAACCAAATTTAGAATTGTGTCCGAGTTAAACTTCTACCTTTTATTCAGTAAACTATCATTAGAGGTACATTTGAAGCTTTATGTAAAGTAACTGTTTTCATTGGGAAGGGCAGATTTCTTCAGACTAGTGTGTTGATGAAATCAGAAAGGTGTCCATGCTTCTGACAGTTTAGATTTTAAGCAACTATAACTGCTCTGATCATTTAGAAAGAAAGAAAAAAAGTTCAATATGAAAATCCTAACATCAATGTGCAGGTCCTGGAGAAAAACAACGGGAAAAGATTTCACATTTTTTAGCCTGTCCATGTTCCTACATTCTCAAAGCCACTACATTTAAAATAAAATATAAAGTTTGGCTTTCTGCAAGAAATGATCATAAGAACACAAAGCTATAGGCCAGCGGTTCTCAACCTGTGGGTCGCGACCCCTCTGGGGGGTCGAACGACCCTTTCACAGGGGTCACCTAAGACCATCGGAAAACACATATATAATCACATATTGTTTTTGTGATTAATCATAATGCTTTAATTATGTTCAATTTGTAACAATGAAAATACATCTTGCACATTACGATTCATAACAGTAGCAAAATTACAATTATGAAGTAGCAACGAAAATAATTTTATGGTTGGGGGTCACCACAACATGAGGAACTCTATTAAAGGGTCGCGGCATTAGGAAGGTTGAGAACCACTGCTATAGGCAAATATTCTATAGGATAACCTTCTTATAATTTTACTATTTTGAATAACACTAACAACTTAAAGAGGGGAAAAATTTTTTTCTCACTGTAATCTATTCCTACTTCTTCAGTTTTCTCTTATTAATGTTTTATTATATTTGGAAACAAAGAACAAGACTGCAATTTTACTCAAAATTTTATGAGTTTTTAACTCATAAAATGCAAGCCTCATAATTTATCCAATAATCATCAATTCTTTCATGATGGAATTTATTAATCAATTTATTAACTTTAAAAAAGACAGTAAAACACCAGGTTGAAGTCATATATTTTAAAATGTATGACCTTGAGTATTTAAAAATGACATAGGAACATAGCAGAGGATTGAAAACTACCTAATAAATCTTACCACACTGACATAGTTATAATTTATTCAAAACATGGAAGCAAAGATTTTGTTTTAATCTACCAATACTCTACACTACATTTAATACAATGTAAATACTCAGCTCATAGTTTCAAGATTAACTTTTGTGTTTCTTTTTTCCATTTTTCTATTACAAATTAAAGGTTTTATGCTCAACAATGTAAACAGATTTTCATACACAATAACTAAACTGTAAGGAATAAAAACTTTAAGAGAACCAATTATAGTTTTTTTAATCTATATAAAACAAAGTAGTATAAATGAAAATAACAAAAATCATTCTGCTTCACAGTCACAGAGCAAGGCAAGCAATACATAAAGTTCTTTTGAACATTATTATAGAAATTACTCAGAATATTTAAGAAATGCAAATTCAGCCCTAACCAGTTTGGCTCAGTGGATAGAGCGTCGGCCTGCAAATTGAAGGGTCCCAGGTTCGATTCTGGTCAAGGCCATGTACCTTGGTTGCGGGCACATCCCCAGTAGGGGGTGTGGAGGCGGCAGCTGATCAATGTTTCTCTCTCATTGATATTTCTAACTCTCTGTCCCTCTACCTTCCTCTCTGTAAAAAATCAATAAAATATATTTTAAAAAAAGAAATGCAAATTCAGATACTATATAGTACATATCACGGGTTTCAGAATATTAGGCTATAATTACACTTACTTATTCATAGTACAATTTTAGCTAAGAAGGTCAGAGAAATGTTTCCTAATCAAACCTTTTAGATAATTATGGGTTTATCATATTAAAACACAAAAGCCTATCAGCTTTAACCATTTTAAACTTTTCCTTTTTTTCAATTACAGTTGACATGATTATGTTAATTTCAGGTGTAACCCCCAGGGATTTAGACATTACATAACTAATCGATCATCCCAATAAATCTCAAACCCATCTGACACCTTACATAGTTATTAGAATATTATTGACTATATTCCTTATGTTGTACTTTACATCCCCATGACTATTCTGTAACAACCAAATTATACTTCTTAATCCCTTCACCTTTTTCACCCATCTCTCCAACTCCCCTGCCCATCTGGAAACCATCAAAATGATCTCTGTACCTATGAATCTGTTTCTGTTCTGCTTGTTCATTTTGTTTTTTAGATTCAATTGTTGATAGATAAGTATTTATTGCAATTTTTTTGTTCGTATTTTTTATCTTTTTTTCCTTCTTCTTAAAGAAGACCCTTTAACATTTCATATAATACTGGTTTGGTGGTGATGAACTCCTTTAGCTTTTTCTTGTCTAGGAAACTCTACCTGTCCTTGGATTCCCTTGCTTTCCATCACTTTGAATATTTCTTGATAATCCCTGTGGTCTGCAGTTTCTGTTGCGAAATCAGCTGCCAGTATCATCTGCAACACATGGGTGTGGGACCACTCCTTTCCTTGTCTCTGCCTCTCCTACAAGTCTCAATGTGGCTTCTTCTTTAGTACCCTAGTTGTAGGACTTCCATTCAGCCAGATTTCAGGCGGTTCTAAATGATGGTTGTTATGCAGTTTAGCTATAATTTTGATGTGGTTGTGGGAGCAGGAGAGTACCATATTTACTCTATGCTGCTTGCCATCTTAGGTCCCTAGTTAGGACCAGAAGAACCTAACCATTTTAATCTTAAAGAGCACATCCCAGATCACCTTCCTTTTACTACTCAGAGTTATCATTGTGAACATTTACGTACTATGTTTCATTACAGTGTACTATAATAAAGTGAACCCTAACATTGCCATCTAACCTATGAGGATGTTTATCAACATACTAAGTAACTCCAACTATTAGGCCTTAATTTCTTTTCTTTTTTTAAAATATATTTTATTGATTTTTTACAGAGAGGAACAGAGAGAGAAACATCAACCAGGAGCCCCTTGTACACCCCCAACTGGGGACGTGCCCACAACCAAGGTGCACACCCTTGACTGGAATCAAACCCGGGACCCCCAGTCCACAGGCCGATGCTCCATACACCGAGCCAAACCGGTCAGAGATAGGCCTTAATTTCTTATACCAGCATTAAAGTTCTTTTCTTTCTTGCTGTTAAATTCTAGACTTGCAATAATTCCTTTTCTAAAATTAAGTTTAATATTCCAACAATAAAAACTTCACTTACCTTGGGTCTAAAATTAGTGGTTGGGCCCACATACTCATGCTGGGCTTTTATAGTACCCCAAGGATGATAAATTTTAAAGCATTCATTGCAGTAGCTTGCACTACAGTCCATGCAACTTTTTGTGGATTCTTGAGGTGGTGGTTTACAAAGATCACACATAATGGCTGTGGCTGCCCTGGCTGCCTGCCGGTATCTTTCAACAATAGTTTCCAAAGTGAAATTTCGAAATAGACCGTTGATTCCTCGCTCTCCAAGATCCACATCATGCTCACAGCCAGGACAAGGAAAAGTAGTTGTCTTAGGGGGCAATGAATTGCGCTTCCAACCTGTATAATTAGTAAGTCCTTGTTTAGTTACATTGGTAGGAAAATGAATAGAATGAAGAAAAAAGGGAATGATGTTTAATAGAGATATTTATCTACAAATATATTCCAAAACTAGAATACTCAATTCACATTCTGAATCAATTATATTCTCAAAATGCATTTTAAAAAAATATCTTCCCTTGGTAAATAAAAGACAGACACTAGCTATTAAAGTTATTAAAATGAAAGAGGAAAAAAAAATATTCTATAGTAAATCCCATATAAAAACCATTTTAAATCAAACAGATATATGGACAAAATATATAATACAATACTACACAAGGTCAGGATCTTTTGAAATTATGTGATTAACATTTATAGTTATTTTTATATATCATAAATAATTTTATATATCAAAGAATTTTTATATATCCAAAAGAATTTGACTTCCATTTAAATGAATATAACATTGGCTGTGTGATAAAGAATGATTCATACATAAAAGAGCAGGAGTCCTTAAACTGGGGCTCCATGAATGGGCTCCAAAGAGATCCAAATAGTTTTGCAAACTATTTGCAATTATATGCAAATTTTGCATCTATGTTTATGCATATTTTCTTTAAATAATACATAGCTTTTATTAGATTCTCAATTTGTTAAGAACCACTGCAATAGAGGGTTTCCCGTTGTAGTATTGTTTTATCTGGGGATATTCAGTAGGCAAAATCATTAGTTAACTGACTACAATCTATAAAAGAGTGAAAAGCTCATTCATAGACCTAAAATCTAGTGACTTTAAGAAGGACCAACCATTTAGTATCTTCTTATGACCTGAAAAAAAGAATCATTAAGGTTACTTAATTCAATAAGCCAAAAGTTACCCAAGAAGTATTATAAATAATTTTACAATATATACACAATACAATGACCTTAAATATCACACTTTAGTTCAGTATTGTCTTGATTTTAACAAATCAAGAAACCAAGGCATAACAGTCCTTATCCACAGGTTCATAAGAATCAAGGGTTGTCCGCTTAACATCAGAGCATGCATACCATAGTCCCACCTCTCATTTATAAATCTAGTCTTAGAGTATGTAATGTTGGTTGCCCATAAAATAACTACCTAAAAATAAACACAACTTCTTAAACTACAGCTTTCTTTCATACTGCCATGTATCCAATACCAAAAATGAATGGTTAAACTTAGTATTCCACACTTAGAAAAGGTCTTTAAACAGCTATATTAATATTGCCTTGGCACATTACTACCATCACTGAAAAGACTGTCTTAAAAAAATGTCTGGCATGATATATGTACAGGTAAAATCTGGCAACCAGGGGAGCAGGAGCAGGGAGGAGAAGGGTCAATGGGGGGAAAAGGGAACATCTATAATACTTTCAACAATAGACATTTTTAAAAAAATTGGCAACCAGCCAGCACCGGTTTGGCTCAGTGGACAGAGCGTCGGCCTGCGGACTGAAGGGTCCCGGGTTCGATTCCGGTCAAGGGCATGTACCTTGGTTGCGGACACATCCCCAGTGGGGGTGTGCAGGAGGCAGCTGTTCGATGTTTCTCTCTCATCGATGTTTCTAACTCTCTATTCCTCTCCCTTCCTCTCTGTAAAAAATCAATAAAATATATTTTTAAAAAAATTGGCAACCAGTTCACAATATTATTCACTTAAAGCGACTTTACAACAAGCTAGATGGCACTGAGCCCTGAAAGCTACTTATGTAAAAATATGCAGGATGTTTTTAATATCTCCATTTAAAGATATTTTTGCCTTTATATTTTTAAACACACACCAAAAAAATACATAAGGAAGTCACCCCATAAAAATCTGAAAATGCTTCATAAAATATATTCTTGTACTAATTCTAAAAACATGCACTAAAGTTCAAGATGTTTCACAACACAGCAGGCATATAATGAAATAAGCAGCAAAGCTGGTTTTTTAAACACATGCCAATGAAAATTTCACTTAGTGAAAAAAACAAGCTAAATAATTCTGGAAGTGATACAGTGCAGTGGTCAAGTTTAAATAAATGGAAATTCACACTTAATTGCATGCTTCCACATATGAACTAGATGATAGAGCTTAAAATGGTTAACTAATATGAACAATCAAATTTTTAATGGGTTATTGGTTTTATGAATCGAAGTTATGATCAATTAAGTAATGGGATAAAACAAAATTAAATTATGATAACAAAATCATGCTTTAACATGTACACTGGTGATATCCAGATTTGGGCAATTTCCAAAAAAGCTTCATCCCTTTTCTGTAAACCTCTTTTAACTTATTTTTATAATAAAAAATAAAGTGTAAAGCATCATACTAAACTTCTTAAGTCAGACAAAATATCTTGTCTGTTTTTCTAAACAGATCTTAAAAGCTCTCACACGCTTTTATAAATGCTAAAAAATCAATACATTTTATTTCACCTGTCTTATACTTTGACCATTGTTTTAATAAAAACAAAACAACAGCCCTAACCGGTTTGCTCAGTGGATAGAGCGTTGGCCAGTGGACTGAAAGGTCCCAGGTTCGATTCCGGTGAAGGGCATGTACCTCTGTTGCGGGCACATCCCCAGTAGGAGGTGTGCAAGAGGCAGCTGATTGATGTTTCTAACTCTCTATCCCTCTCCCTTCTTCTCTGTAAAAAAAAATCAATAAAATATATTTTTAAAAAAACAAAAAACAAACAAAAAAAAACCCCAGAATATATGTTCAGGGTAATAAGGAGAACATCTAAGGATATCCTGGGAAGTAATTCTAATGAAAAAATTCAAGAAATGGAACTAAGACTAAAATGTAAGAGAGCTAACTTTTTACTCTCTTTAGCTGTGCTAATATAGTTAGTAACCATTAGCCAAATGTGGCTATTGAACTTAAATTTAATTCATTCAAATTCTCATGAGGCTAGTGGCTACCATACAGTATGGTGCAGGGTCAAACATTTCCATCATTGTAGAAAGTCCCATTGGATAAAACTGCTCAATGGCCCTAGCTGTCTTGGCTCAGTGGATGGAGCGTAAACCTGCGGACTGAAGGGTCCCAGGTTCAATTCCAGTCAGGAGCATGACTCTCAGCTGCAAGCTCCTCCCTGGTCCCTGCCCTGGTCAGGGCACGAGCAGGAGACAACGAAACAATGTGTTTCTCTCACATAGATGTTTCTCTCTGTCTTTCCTTCTCTCTTGCACTCACTCTAAAAATCAATGGAAAAATATCCTCAAGTAAGGATTAAAAACAAAAAAACCTGCTCAACAGCATGATATAATGAAAAATAAAAGTAATAATGACTTAGAAAGGTAAGGAAACAATGTAGGCCAAGAAATGCAATTTTATGTCAAACTGTATTTGTGGGGCCAATAATATACCCAAATGATTTAAATACTGTCACTACACAGAATCAATTATTTTCCCCCATATACCTTTAATTCAAAAACAAATTAATCAAGTATAAATCAATACAATTTAAAAACAAAGACCACAAAAAAAGTTCTTCAAATTGGTTTATACCAAATCCCCCCAAAAGTCAGCTTTCAGTCATATGTTTTACCATTTAAATATCAAAGTATTTCAAAACAAAGAGAGTCAATTCATAACAGGTTCAAAAACTCTGCTAGCTGCATCCTTTCCCACATTCTGGCTAGAAACAATTTCCCCACTGTTACCACCTGGTAGTCAGTGGCCGACCTCTCCACATACTGGACATTCATGTTGGGCTTCTTGGTGTTTGGCAATGGACTAATGTATGAAATTACTAGGAAAAGAATGTTTCTTTTCGTACATTCTGACCATCTGATTCCTACCAGTTATATTTAATTTTTTAGTATTATTAGTATTTTCAACTTGCAAAACCTTTTTCTCTACTGCCTTAATAAAAAACAGGTAATAAGCAATGAGCTTTTAAAAAGCAAATTGCTCCTATTTTTCCTCCGAATTGCTGAATTTCAATATTTAAAATTCTCAGGGACTCACTAAAGCCTGGTAAGAGAAAAAATTACATGTAGCTTCTAGAAGTGACTGTAAGATTTTAAAATCAATGCCGAAACCGGTTTGGCTCAGTGGATAGAGCGTCGGCTTGCGGACTGAAAGGTCCCAGGTTTGATTCCAGTCAAGGGCATGTACCTGGGTTGCGGGCACATCCCCAGTAGGGGATGTGCAGGAGGCAGCTGATAGATGTTTCTCTCTCATCGATGTTTCTAACTCTCTATCTCTCTCCCTTCCTCTCTGTAAAAAATCAATAAAATATATTTTAAAAAAATCAAGACATGTAGAGGAAGGTAAGGAAGACAGAAAAGGGATAACATTTCAGATGTTCATTTTCTCTAATAAGATATAAGGTATCACCAGCATTTCACAAAAATATTGGTCAATTTTACTTTAAAGGTCAACTGGAGTAAAAAACACTTTTTAAAAATAAGGTAGGTTAGCCCATCTTTCATACAGAATCAAATACTTCAGAAAGCCTAAAAAAGCAGTGTACATTATTTACCCACAAATGGGTAAGATTCCTATATTACAACTCAAATACTTTAAAATGTTAACAAATAAAAGACACCATGTTTTGCATAAAACAAAGACTATGTTTTTAACTACAAAAATTATCAACATCTTTAAGCAAATCTTTAAATACAGAAGTACTGCCTTATTTAAACCTCCCCAAGGTAGCAATATGGCTGTTAAACATAGCTTTGTTCCACTAAATAAACGTAAAGGATTTAAAAAAAAAAGGGGTGGGGGCATCTGTAATAGTATCAGGAAAAATTAAAATTAAAAGCTAACAGTAGTATGTCATTTTCTTAAAAAAGTATCTTGTCATGCATATTGACAAAATGCAAGCACTAATAATCAGTGCCCCCTTTATAAACATCAGAACTTGCTCGGAAATTTAGTCCTGTTGACCTTTAAGTCATTTCAGCCCAATTTGTTCACTTTTGACAAAATTTTGAAGACTTGACCACTGATGTTTACAACCTTATCTATACAGGGTTATTTAATTTAAATCTAACACTATACTGCCTGCGGCCACACAAGCGATAAAGCATTTTCTACCTCTCCACCCCAAAGATCTCCGTTGTGATGCTGTGAACAATGAACAGAAAGCTGGATTTAGAATTTAATTTAAAAGAGAAGTTTCACAACTTGTTAACAAAAGATAAAGCAGTAACTGTTCTGCATATAACACAATTATTGAGTTAACAGTAAAAAAAAAGTGTTTTTCCTGGTACACATGGTAGTTATGAAGCTATCACTGTAGAACATTCATCAAGCTTATCTTAGAGTTCAGAATTAATCAGTACTGGTATAGAACTTAAAAGATCTACACTTTATCTTATAGATTTGTATTTTTAAATAATCATATTTCTGATAACCATTGAAAATACAAAGTAAAATCAAGCATTTTTTGTTTAACTTTTTTACTGCTGTAAATAACACTAAACAAACATTACTAAAACCAACTAGATCTTTCTGACAAAAGGAAATACAAAATGGGAGGAAAGTCTACATATATATGATTAAAATATACAGTAATACAGCTCTTTTATTGTTACATAATTTAATATGTAATTTTTATATACACAAATCTTACTCTTCTATAAAGGCACTTTAACCTTTAAAATCTTGTCAAATGTCCAATGCAGTGCGATCCAAGGATCATGGGAACTTAAAGTGTAGGCCACATATTTTAAATTTCCCAGTAACCAGAGAGAAAAGAAACAGGTGAAATTCACTTTAATAATGTTATTTAACCCAGTATATCCAAAATACTAGCAATTCAAAGTGTAACCAACATAAAAATTATAAAGAGATAATTTTATATTCTTTTTTTTTCATTCTAGGTGTTCAAAATCCAGTGTGTATTGTACATCGTAATTCAGATTAGCACATTTCAGTGCTCAACAGCCACACATGGCTAGTGGCTACTGTACTGGACAGCCCGGCCTAATTAACCCCTTAATAAACCATTGGCAAACTCATTTTTGAATTCTATTCCTCCCACATCAATTACTCAGAATAGGGTCTCTGGTTTCCTTCTCAAACATATCTAAATGATGAAAAATTATTTTTTAAAAACGTACCCATTAATTTAGGTTTGAATCTACCCAAAGAAAAGTTATCGGCAAATGCCCCTCAAATGAAGGGTAACTATTTTAAAACTGGTGACTCTGAGATAGATAGGAAATCTTAAAATTTGCATTAATTTGCTAAAAACCTCCAGGACTGATTATACTTGGAGCCTTCTCACCCTCTAAGTGCTCTATCTGTATCTGTTAACTTACTTTTTACATTCTTGATGAAGGACGGTGTTCTAATTACTGCATCTCACATTTAGCCATGTCTCAGAACTAGCAGGTAACTTAAATATTTGGCAAATGAATGAATGCAACTGGTACGCAAAGAGGCACAGCCCTTCAGGGTGAGAGAGTACATGGAAGATGATATAACAAAACTGGCCTGACTTACCACCCCAGGCAGAAATCCCCTCTATAATACCTGCTAATGATGGTCACCCATCCAATGTTTAAAACAAAAACTCCAAACACTAGTGGCCCAAAAGCTGGATGGGTCAGAGTCAAAGATGTGTTTTGGCTGCCCTGACCACCCTACGTTGAGCTTACAGAGTGTTTTTAAATAATTTGAATTGACTGCCAACATTTAAAAAACAGACTTTACATCAAAACACTATCAGGTTTTTGTTAGGGAAAAAAACTGTAAATCCAACAATCTGGAATTCCCAAACTCATATGATAATTCACTAGTGCCAAATGGCTACTGCTCCATTAGACAAGGCATCCATTCCAGTCTCTATAGTCCCAAACTACACCCACAATCTTCAGCAGGGTTGGCCAAGGAGTCAGCTGGCTGCTGACACTTGGGCCACTGGTTTTCTTATAGTAGTTAATGAGAAAATGAAATATTTATTGTCTCTATGCCTATATCAAAGAATTAAAATGACAGAGGTCCTGTATTTATTTTTCTGGGGCCTGCTTCATTAATGTACCTATTTGTTCCCTGCAATATAGCATCTAAATTTGACCCCTACGAAAAATCACAAATTTGCCTCCAATTTAAACACTTCTAGTGACAGTGATCTGACAAAATCAGGCAGCCCATTTCATTTTTGGACAGGCTTAAGTGTTTGTTTTCTCTCACGTTAACTTGAAATCTGCCTTCGTATTTCATCGGTTCCTTGATCTGGACCCTTAGTGAGAAGATGCCCAGGGTACTGTTCTCTTCCACAAGACAGCCATCGTATTCTGCAGTTGTCCCTTCTCCAAGTTAAATGTTTTTATTTCCTATAACTGTTCACAGAAAAGTTTTCTAACTTCCTCCCTTCACGACATAATCCATCTTAATAGAGTTCTTCCTAAAGAAGGGGAACATCTCAGGAATTCTGTTTGATCTAGACAGTCAAGTGTGGTGGAATAGATCTCTTCTTCTTATATTCAGTATGAATATAAGTCGTATGGCATGCTATGAACAAATCTTGCAGCAGAGGCTTGTCATTTAACATCCATTCAACACATATTTATTAAACATCTATTGAATATTGTGGTAGGTAAGTTCCTGAAGAGAGAAATGGTTCACTGTATTTCATCTATATCTCATTCCTACTTCATATTAATCACATATAAAAACTAAACAAGCCGAAACCGGTTTGGCTCAGTGGATGGAGCGTCGGCCTGCGGACTGAGGGGTCCCGGGTTCGATTCCGGTCAAGGGCATGTACCTGGGTTGCGGGCATTTCCCCAGTGGGGGATGTGCAGGAGGCAGCTGATTGATGTTTCTCTCTCATTGATGTTTCTGGCTCTCTATCTCTCTCCCTTCCTCTCTGTAAAAAATCAATAAAATATATTAAAAAAAAAAAAAACTAAACAAGTCTTAAGATTGGAAGCCTACATAACATACAGGATTTCATAAAATACATATGTAAGCACAATCGAATTGTAAATAGAAATACTACGACACAACTAAAATTCCCTTTAGTGGCCTGTGCTAAATATTAACAAACAAAAAGTAAATTTTCCTTGGCCAGTCAAGCAGGGGTCCCTAATTAGTCAGTAAGGATCTAGAATATCAAGCTGTTACTGTCTTTCTTCCCCTCCTCAGTGTGCCAGTTTCCTAGCAGGGATGGAAACAAAGTGATGACTTCACAATGAGCATAACCCTCTCGGACCTCCTACTCCCTGCACTCCCAGTTACCTAATGCTCCTTGTTTGCATACAGTCATGCGCTGCATAATGACAGTTTGTTCCGTGACATAGACAGTGGCCCCATAAGATTATAACGGCCCTGAAAAATCTGTCCCCTAGCAACATCATAGCCATCCTAGCACAGTAGCACAACACATTACGTGTTTGTGGTGATGCTGGTATGACCAAATCTACTGCCAGTCATGTAAAAGTATAGCACATACAATTATGTAAAGGACATAATACTTGATAATGATAATAAATGATTATGTTTATGCTACAGGTTATATATTTATTGTACTATACCTTTTCTCCTTAGAGTGTACTCCTCCTACTTATTAAAAAAGTGTCCTGTAAAACAGGATGCCATATTATACCAGCAATAGTCTCATATATCTTGTGTTTTCTGTGTCTCTTGATCGCATCATTACCTCTTGTACTTGATTTAATCTCATGTTGTTTTGTACAGTAATGTGATGTACAGGACCGTAGCCTAGAAGCAATGGGCTCTATGATAATGTGTAGTAGGCTTGTGTAAGTGCACTCTATGATGTTCACACAAGCACTAAAACGCCCAATTATACCTATATAGTCATGTGCCATCTAATGACGGGGATTTGAGAATGTATCCCCGTCATTGGGCGGCACATGACTGTGTATGTATAATTTTTATATGTGCAAAATATCTTAGTGTTTACCATTTGAAGAAAAATACATGTTTTTTTAAATACCATAATACTACTATTATGCAAATACTACTATTAGCATAATACTACTATTAGCAAATCTATTATCCACTCTTTGATGGAGCACAAAGACATAATGTCACCCAAGGAGACTCCATATCACAGCATAGACCAAAATAGATGGCATTCCCTAAAATGTAAATAAAGAGAGATGCTTTTCTGATAAGTTTTCTTACAAGATTAAAAAGTTACTCCTATACTATAAGAGGAAGAAATGAACAGAGAGGAGGGAAGGATTAAACTTAAAACCTCAAAGCCCAAATGAGGCAGAGTTGCAGCCCTGAAGTCTGATGCTATGGCCACTCAAGCACTCTCCATACAAAGAGCATGCCTAGCACGTGATGCTGTGGTATTTCTACCCAACCTAGGCCACCCTTTGGTCCTCACTACTGACTTTGGCCCTTCATTTTTCAGTGGCCCTGTTCCCAGTGATTATAAATTAATTTAGATCCGCACTAATCTTACTATGGATGTCCAGAAGAAAGTAACTATCCCAACAGGAAACAATTTAAACATTGGGTAAATAATAAAGGTACAATATATTAGTATATACTATACATCTCGTTAGATCTACTTCTATCATTATTACAGAATTCCACTACTATTTAAATGACAAATGTTATGAGGATTAACAAGGAGAAAAAAAGAGTTCATTTAACTACAGTTTTAATTTATTCACCTGGAAAGATTAACCCTGAAAATGACAAAAATAATTTCCTTCCACAGTAATCAATGAAATTCCCTGGTCCCAATGTTCTACCACATACCTGGTCTGTTAATCCTGTCAATTTTATCCAAGCTAGGGGAGGTGACCCAAAGTCGAGGACTGCTCTGATTGGAGTTGTCTGATCCCACGTCATTGAATGAATCATCAAGTGTCAGTAAGAGTTCTTTCACACACTTATGACAAATATTATGTTGACAAGGGAGAATCAACGGGTGGGTAAACAGCTCCTTGCATGCTGGGCAAATGAGCTCTCTTTCGATATTCTTAATAGTAACCTTAAATTGAAAAGAAATCAGAATCAAAGACTCTTAGTGGGTAAATATATGAACATGCTTACACCTCTTGCAGAAGTACATGTGCTTACCTTTCCAAAAAGAATTAAGAAAGGTTTATTTTTAAGTCTGAAGTTCCTTTTTGGCTATGAAATATTGTATCATTAACTCCTTCTCAACACCCAATAGCCTAGAACTGAAGTGACATGACATGGTAAAAACTGAAGTATGAGAAAAATTAGCAGAAAATATTAGGAAATCATAATATTTCATCAATTATGAAGCTATTCAAACCATCACTAACTTACTTTTTTAAGATTTCACTGAAATAAAAATTAAGAATATAGCACATTGCCCTAACCGGTTTGGCTCAGTGGATAGAGCCTCGGCCTGCGGACTCATGGGTCCCAGGTTCGATTCTGATCAAGGGTGTGTACCTTGGTTGCGGGCACATCCCCAGTAGGGAGTGTGCAAGAGGCAGCTGATCGATGTTTCTCTCTCATTGATGTTTCTAACTCTCTATCCCTCTTCCTTCCTCTCTGTAAAAAATCAAAAAATATATATTAAAAAAAAGAATATAGCACATTAACTTTGTGAGTAGCAAATAACAAGAGCTGGTCAAAACAAAGTTAGCTAGTATGTTCATGGAACCCTTCTTGAAATCTGTTGACAAGGTGGATTATCAGCAATTCCCTGCATTAAATGTAACCAATGTCATGCACATTACAGCTGCAACTGTAATGGAGGTAAAATGCCTGAGGTTCTCATGCTGCAATAGCAAAGCAGTTATCTTAAAAGCATGCGATAAATACTGAAAGGGTGTAGAGGCTAGAAGGCACCATTATAAATGCTTTCAATAGTACAAGCTTGCATTATTTTCAAGGGGGGAACATTTAGACTCTTATCACAACTAAAAAGGTTTGATGACCTCATATGAGTTTTCCCATTCTTTCCCTTAGCAGTTCCCCCCGCCCCACACCCCCCATATACCAAACTTCAGGGGCTAAGACTGCCTGCAATGTTAGTGATAGTGCAACATTAAAGTACTCATAACCTTGTACAATCATTTCAACTCCTGCAAATGCACAATTACAACTGAATTGAGCCACTTTTTTAAATTAAATAAAAATGCATGCTATTCTATTCCCCCTAAAGTGACAAAAAGTGCTTTAATCCCTGACAATAACACTACAGCCAACTGTCTCAATGGGTCTTTGTGGCATTTCTTGCTGCATCACTCAATAAATACAGGGTGGGGCAAAAGTAGGTTTACGGTTTTCCGTACGTAAAATAATACAATTAAAAGGCAATGATACAAGAATAAACTGTTTTATGTGCTCAGAACGGTAAACCTACTTTCGCTTCACCCTGTATTTAATAAAAGCCCGCATTATGTCATCATTTGAGTAAACTGGGAAAGACAGCCACACCTCACAATTCACATCAAAGAACAGGGAATACTTACATCCTATTTCACTGTCCAAGAAAATTGACAATTCAAAGGGAAATACTGTTCAGAATGTCCAACGTAGGTTCTCACACCCCATTTTATGGGAGGTTTACTTCCCACCGTTAGATCTAAATGCATTTCCATTTTTCTTGTACATAAAGCACTACACAAGCCTTTTAAGCACGATGCATAAAAAGTAGTTTTTTACCCAGAAGATAAATTAGTGTTCATTTTATATTCATTGAGGGGGAACAATCTGATGAAGAGAAATGTGATGTGGTAGTTCCCACAATTAAGCTGGTTCCAAATAAACGAGGTTCGACAGAAAATGAACAAGTTCTTAAGAACTGCCTATCCGACCCCTTCAAACAAGACCACTGGCACCCCGACAGCGACCAGAGGGAGCCCGCCTCCCGGGAGCTGGCGGAGCCGGGAGGAGCCCAGGCCGGCGGACGGGCCGAGCCGCGGGGGGCTTGGCACTCCAGCCCCGACCTCCGCGCGCCCAGACAAAGGGCGGCGGGACGCGCACCCCGAGCCCCGACGGGCACCGGACTCCACAGAGCCAATTCGTTCTACCACCTGAACTCCATTGCAGAGCCCCGCCCGGATTCCCCAGGTGCTCAGATGAGCGATAACCGCACCCGAGGGCGCCCTCTTTCGGGCCCAGGTCACCCCGGAGTCCGACCCTCCGAGGAGGGGAAAGGGGGCGCGC